TTTTTGAACTCAATGTCCTTAATCTATCACTTCAGGTCTCTTCTTGGATCCCATTATCCTTCACATCATCCTCACTCATTCATCCTTTGACACCTAACTCTTGATTTCTGTAGTCCTTTTATAAGCTTTCTATCTATTTTGAATTATTTCTATGTTGGTCTTCCCTGCCTCCCCACCCACCATCGTGTTTAGTGTCTGCCATCTTTGTTTCTCTCTCCTTGTTTCTCCATGTTTCTTTAATGTCTCTTGGCACTCTGTCCTGTCTCTATCTATATGTTTCTCAGTGTGCATGAGGATTGCTACTCACACATGGTACATGACCCCTAATCATCTCTTATGGTGCATCCTTTAGAAATAAGTGGATCCAACATGCATCTGCTTGAAGAAGTTGCCTCTCATCGGCGCTTTTGTCTAAAAATCTTCTCCTTAGTTGGGAATTTGGCATCCTCCCCATAGCACCTGGCTTCTACCTCTTTTTTTTTTTTTTTTTTTGGTCCGGTCGTGGGGGCCCTGAACTCTGGGCCTGGGCACTGTCCCTCAGCTCTTCAGCTCAAGGCTAGCGCTCTACCACTTGAGCCACAGCGCCACTTCCGGCTTTTTTCTTTTTGCTTATGTGGTGCTGAGGAATCGAACCCAGGGCCTCATGCATGCAAGGCAAGTGCTCTACCACTGAGCCACCTTCCCAGCCCTGGCTTCTACCTCTTTACTGGAAGCAGGATGGAACACATGGCTGTCTTTACCACATGCTAATATGAGATAAGAAGAAGTTGCATGCATTTATTAGTGCAGAACTGGAAACAAGAAGATCTATGATCTGGCAGTCAGACGCTCTTAACTTTTGGCCCCAGAGAAGTTCTAAATCATTATGAGCACTAGGAGAGATACATCTTGCCCAAACCTCAGTTTCTCCAATCTCCTCCAAATAATAAAAGGCTAGGCATGAATTAGTTAATCTTTAAGCACTTTGTTTAGTTGAAGATTTTAAATTTTGAAGCAGAAACTCAGGTTGCTCTTTCAGAGAGTTTCATGAGAAGACATGGAAACACAGAACTTTCTAGCTACATGTGGTCATCTGGAGAGGGCACGAGAGGACAGCAAAGCAGGATATCACTGTCACATGAACATTCATTAGTTGATAAGAGATTTAGATCTCCAAGGCCAGGAAGTTGTCATAAAATGTGGCATATGGCAGGACGGCTGGTGGCAGTGCCTGCTGGCTACTCTCGAGGGCTGGACCAGAGAGTACTTGGAAGAGGAAAGGAAGGAAGGAAGGAAGGAAGGAGGAGGAGGAGGAGGAGGGGGTGGTGAGAAATGACAACTGCTTTTGATGATGAAAAATCTCACAGGCCTTCTGGAATGTGGAGGACAAAGTTGCTTTAGATTCTCTAGTCCTGTCTGGGGCTCAGGAGGAGAGACTTGAAAAAACCCATCCACTCAGATTCATCCAAAGTAGCTTGCCGACTCACAGTGAAAACTGACTTATCTTGTGACCCCACCCCCACCCCCAAGAGGGGACACCATCTGGAGACAGAAATAATTGCAAAGAAAAGTTTAACCAAAGATAAATGTGAGAAAGGTTGAATAGAATACATTACTTTGCTATAGTAGTGGTTTGGGTAACACCCCAAATGTTGATGTGGTTATTAGCAGTTTGCTTTGCTTCTTTTGTGTCCCCTGTGCCCATCTATGAGCAGATAGGGCAGACACAGGACCTGGCTATTGAAAACAACAACCCAAAGTTGGGGGCTTGAGAACAATGAGCAGAAAGCTTTGGGCAGAATGTTGACTTCTGATGAGGATAAAATTCCAAGTGATCCTGGACACTCCCAGATCAAGGTTTGGGTTACACAACCTTCCAATCAGCCAGTTGGTAGTGGGAAGTTAGGGGGCTGCCTAGCCCAGCAGTGCATTGCTTTGTGATCACTTTCCTACCCCAAAGGCAACATGAGAGCCCAGGCATCCATGCAGTCCCTTCAATAGTTAGCATCTCAGTACCTATGTGGGTCCTCCCTTGGAAAGAAGCTCATCTTTACAAAGTAGAGTGGAAAGTAATACGTTTGATCATTTCTCTCATGCCAGCTAATGACTGCTGCGAGAAATCAATCTACATCAAACATGCAAAGTGCCTGGCACCTGATTTAAAAATATATAATACCTCCTGTTAACAAGGAGGTGGTGAAATGATGCTTGATGTGGTTGGGGCTGAGATTTGAAGGCTGGTGTGTCTGGAGGTCTGCTTTACTCTCTTCCCTTCTGTCTATATGCCTTGGCCTTTGATGACTCCTTCATGGACAGAAGCTCTTTCCCAAGAGGCACCATTCTTAGCAATTACTTCATACTCCAGGTCCTCATGCTTTGTCCTCCGAGAAGTCTTTTAGGTTTCCTTCTAATTCCTTTCAAAAGCCTTCACATGATAAATCTTTGGGAAAAATGGGTATTCCTTAGAATACTGCCTTGCAAATTAAATTTTGCTATTATTTTTCAATTGTGCGTGTCATCTTTCGTGCTTGTAAATTCCTTCCTCAAAGCGAAGTGATCATTTATTTGTTTCTTTCCTCTGAATTACAAGCAGCATTATTCTATCCATCATGATGCTTGAGACATGTTCATAGAGCATTAAAATGATAGGAAACAAGCCCTGCAGAATCACATCCTTGAGTAATAGTTTAGCTACTGAACATTTCTCCCAGAGATTTTCCAGCATAGTTGTGTTCAGCCTCAGTGTGAGCATTTGAGTAGTAGGAAGAACCTTATGCTGAATGTTAGAGAATCGTCTTTGCCAGTAAACTATTATATGGTAAGCAGGCTACTTTATCACCCTGGAATTCTCTCTGAAACTTTCCATTTGTTTGCAACTGCTCACTGGACCTTAGAACTTTCTTCCCAGTTCCCTTTTCTTGCCAATAATAATTTGGGACCATTAGCTGAAACCACCAATATGCTCAGGTGGCATCCACAATAGATACCCTACTTGACATCCCCAGTCAACTCTCTTCCGTGTATGCTACTTCATGCACAGCTTCCATGAGTTTGCAAACTGCAAAGCAATCATTGCCTAAGCTCTTCTTACATGATCTAAGAGTTCTCTCAGGGTTGTTAGAATGAAGACTTGTCTTGCAAGAGCCCCTCCTCTGTTTAACCTTTTCTGTGGCTCACTCTTAGTTAATCTACCAGGTATTGGCTAAGTAACACTTCATCTGAACAACCAATAGAATATCACTACTGTTATATAATCCAACAGAGGCACTCTTGTGCCTTTGCTCAAACTATATTGAACTCCATTGTTAATTGCTTTCCGGAGAGCCTCTATCACTACTTTATTAGACTAATGGATAAAATTTCCCCTCTCAGCTATGCCTTAGTGCCAGGGCATCTGGGGTCATTTGTATCTCATTTTCAATTGTATCCTCAAAAATGAGCCTGGTTCCTGGGGCACAGGACATGGTCAGAGGACATGTAGTCACAAGGATAAATTCATATTTTTGAATTCATATTTTATTCCTTTCTCTAACATGGCAGATAGGGGTTGGGGAATTGAATTAAAAGATAACAGCAAGGCACTAGAGTTAGACTTACATGTGAATCGGGACCCTGCCTGTCACAGCACCGTGAAGTTGAGAACGTCAATCTCTCTGCTACTGACTGCTCACCTGAGAAGTGGAGACTGGTTTTTCTCAAACGTGTTGAATAAAGAAGCTAAGACAGCTCTATCCATTTCTAAAGAGAGGTCTTTAGGAAGTTACTTTAAAGTTCTGTTTCTCATCTGTGAAAAGGGGATGATAACAGTTCCTATTTCTCTATATTGTTGTGAGGATTACACAAGCAAGTGTTCATAATGCAGTAAATACCCTAGGCACTACTGAATTGATGTCAGAAGCCTTTGCTAACACTCTGCAGTGTTTGCAGTAATAATTTGCTTGTCATAGGGAAAAATTTAAGAGCCAGTAACCACACTGTCTATCTGATTACAATGAACACCACTCTTAATGATGGGGTGGGGATAATGATAATGATAATGATGACTATGGTAGTGATTTGTTATTACTTCTAGCTTTTCTTTTTCTAACACATGACCTTCAATGATAAGAGTAACTGTAAATTACCTAATCCTTTTTTATTAAAAATCTGCTAGAAATGATAGCTTTTTGTTTTTAGAGAATTCATTTGTTAGACATGGAACAAGCCTTCTCTCAATCCAACAAATCCTCAGATTTTGAAGCATGAATAAATCCCATCTAAGCTCTCTCTTCTCTAGGAAGAACGGTTTCTAGTTTCTTAAGTTGTCTGGGGAAGCATTTATCATTGATCTATAGGTCTAAATTTTGGGTAGTCCAACCAAACTAAGCTGTCCTCTCTCTCTCTGTCTCTCTCTCATTTGATTAACATTCCTTCTCATCTTGTAGTTTCCCATGTACCAATGTATCATGAACAGAGGAAAAGGTCTCTGACATATTTTTGGAAAAGCAACATCTGAGCAGCTCTACTGAGATCTGACGTGTGTGTGTGTGTGTGTGTGTGTGTGTGTGCACGCGCAAGCACACGTGCACACGAAGACAGAGAGGAAGGGGGTGGTTTGTAAGTAAGTGTTCAAAAATGTTAATACCGTGTATTTCTGAGTGACATGATTTTCATTTTCTACTTCATTAAGTGTCTCTATTTTTGAACTGCCCAAATAGCATCTATAGGATATCTATTTTTAATAGACTAAAAGATTAATTAATTAAACAAATTCCATTAACTGTACTTACAGGAGGACCTAAGATTGAATTTCAAATATGTGAACGGAGTTAGAAAAATGGGAGGGTGGGACAGAGATGTTGGAGGTCAGAGAAAAGATGTCTTCTAGGATGAATGCTGACAACTTCTGGCCCTTTGTGGGTGTGCCTCACTGAGCCTCGCCAGGGAGGGTGAGGTTATCTGCACCCCACTCTGTCCATGGCTTCCCTCCTCCCACCCAATCTGGACTTTGACTGGGAATGTGCAAATGTCTGCCCCATTACCTGAAGGTCATCTGGAACACTTGCCCTTGGTTCACATGCTGGGTCCGGTTGTTGTAACCATGTAGCATCTCTCCAAAGAGTGTGTCGTTGAATTTGGAGTCGGGTTTGAGACACTTGGGGCCTTCACAAACATCTGAGAGCATTAGGCAGGATTTCCCATCTGGAGCCAGCTTGTACTCCTCCACACAGCTGCATGAGGAAACACAACTGGGAGTTAGCTCTACACCTCGGATGCCCCCACCGGAGGTGACCTAAAACCATGGTCTCCTTTGCTTAAAAACAGGTCAGAGTTTAGAAACAGAGGCAGCTATTCTGGTTGGAATGTATCTAGGGCACAGGTGTCTGGAGAAAAGCACATTAATCGTGCAAATTGGTAAATCCAGGGAAAGTCATTTGTGACATTTTGAGGCAGTCAGGGAGGAGACTGGTGTGTGCATCCACGCACAAAGCAAATTTAAAAACGGATTTCCATGAACACACAGACTTAGAAAAGCATGACAGGCCAATTCATGGAGAATTATCAACTAGTTTCTCGAATAAGAATCTATTCCCAGTGTATCTGTCAACTGAGGTTGCACACTGTAGCAAATACAAGTTTGCTATTGCCCTTGTAACTCGGAGGTGACCTTTTCAGGACCATGGACAGTGCACACAGCATCTGCCAAGACTTCTGTTTAATCATCAATGTTAGCAGCCTCTGTTGGGGTTTTCATGAGGTTCCTGAGAGCCAGCCAGACCCTTGTTATCCCTTAGAAGCAGGAATAGAAAAAGATGTGGACCAGATAAGCTCTGAATTTGGAATCTAGAAAGAAAGGAGGGAGTGAAGGTGCAAAGGATGGAAGGGAGGACTGAAGGAAGGGATAGGGACAAAGGAAGGAAAGGAGCAAGGAAGGAGGGAGGGAAGCAAGGAAGGAGGAAGGAAGGGAATAAGACATGGAGAGATGGAAGAAGGAAGGACAAAAGAAAGGAAGAAAAGAAAAGGCAAAAGGAAGAAAGGAAAGAAGGGAGGGAGAGAGGGGAGAAGGGAAGGGAGAAAGGAGGAAGGAAGGTAAGAAGGGTGAGAAAGTGGGAGGAAGGAAAAGAGGAAGGGAGGAAAGTGTAAGACCCTAGGGAAGGGGTGGGGTGAGAAAAGAGAAGCAGAGGTCCTTGCAGATGAATGATCAATTCAGAAACAGAGCTCTACCGATGTCATTTTACCTTCTTGTGACCCATATGGACCTGAGCAAGTCCCTTCACATATTTGTTCCCCAATTTTCTCATCTGTGAAACAGGGCAGAACTTCCCATCTTACCATCATTCATCAAGATACCATGACATCCCATCATGTATTGACTACAAATAAAGGACTAAACATGTACATAACAAAAACAATCATAGTTCTTAGTGGCAATGGGGATGTTTCTATTCATTGGGCAAGTTATCCCCACTAGATAACTTTATATTTATTTCTATATTTATTTTATAACCATGAAAAAATGTAACATCATGATCCCTTCTGTGTACTTATGCAGAATGAGAATCCAAACACTCAGCCTATCACTGTGAGGGGGAAAGTTGGCATTCAAATTCAAGTCTATTGAATAGCCCAGTATTTTTTTTCCTCTTGTCTCCTCTAACTTCAATGACTTCTATTTTACAGGACATGACCCAGGTTGGATTGCTAAAGTTGAGAGAGCAGTGGAGCAGACACTCTCGCATTTGCATTTCTTCACAGGGTAGCGTGAGATCCATCAGGATTGATGGTAAAGAGACTAAGGAACCCGGGGGACAAGGCAGAGGCTCTGTGAGGTGATTTGGAAAGAAAATACATCCAGGTTGCTGGAGCAAACAGCTGATGGATACTACACACAAAGACAGACGAGAAGCAGAAAATAGACAAGCTGAACCGAAGATCTGACCCAAGATCACTCTAGTAAAAAGGCAGAAACTTCTCATGCATGAAGCCAAGTTGTCACTCTTTCCCAGCTGCCCCCTGTGACTAGTGGAATGTGTTGATGCTCTGATTTTCTTACTAATGTTCACAAGTTCCTCCTCAAAGAACAGAGAAAAGTTGCCCAGAAAGAGGACTGGTGAGTTCTTGGTAAAAATCTATTTCCCCTTTATTTTTCTATATGTACTCTTTTTTTTTGCCAGTCCTGGGGCTTGAACTCAGGGCCTGGGAACTGTCCCTGAGCTTCTTTTGCTCAAGGCTAGTGTTCTACCACTTGAGCCACAGTGCTACTTCCAGCCTTTTCTGTTTATGTGGTACTGAGGAATTGAACGCAGGACTTCATGCACACTAAGCAAGCACTCTATCACTAAGCCACATTCCCAGCCCTTACTCCCCCCTTTATTTACATTGGTTAAATATAAGTAACTTCACCTTAGTATAGTTGTTATGCATGTAATTTGAATGCCTAGGAAAAGTGGGATAAATGTTCCATAACATCTGTTTTCATCCATGGATCCATATATATCTCACGGAGGTTCCCAGTACATAAGAAGAAATGGTTTAATTGACATTGTTAAAATTCTCTCTCTTTCTCTCCCTCCTTCTCCCTCCATATGCTCACATGCCTATGCACCTAGGAATAAACATATTATTGTTTTAAATTAGTAGGCATTATCCAAGTCTATAGAGTAAAATGTGGAAGGTCTTCATTTCCTACTCCATATGTCTTATCTTAGTGGTAATCACTATTATCTACAACCTATTCCTCTAAGGTAATCTTCCACACATTTAAATGTCCATTATATGCATACATTATATAAGATACACTATATATGTATGTCTATTTTAATATATAATAAGCTCATTAGTATAAGTGAACTGTACATTGTTACAATATATACACTTGCTCCTAACTCTTTCTTGGATATGTTTTTTAAAGTCACTAGCAGATTTATCATTTAAAATGCTCCTTTGACATTATACAGTATAAATGCACAGTATTGCTTTTAGCTGATTTTTATTGATGGGCACTTTGGCTGTTAGAGCCGTTTGTTATTACACACATCTTCATAATGAGGATCTTTGTACATATATCACTGTGCACTCTGTGAGTATGTACTCTGATGGATTCTTACAAGAGAAATTGCTGGGTCAATGTTTTATGAATTTAACATTTTTGATAAATCTACTAAATAGCCATCCATAGAGGCTCTACCAGTTTACCATCCCATCACTGATGAATGAGAAAGTGAGAGAGTCTTGATTTTTCTACATCATTCATGATCATTATTGTCATGCTATGATAGGGAAAATAATTCATTCTTTTTGGACTTGCATTCTTTAGTTACTGGTGAAGTCCAACATAGTTTCATGTTATGGGTGTTTATATTTCTCCTTTTAGCAATTGTTCTAATGTTTTGGCCATTTTCCTGCTATGATATGTCTATTTGTCTTTTTTCTCATTGGCTTGTGTATGCTCTGCATATTTTCTGCATAGTTATTCTTACCCTTCTATATATACTGACATTTTCTTCCAGTTTGGGCTTATATTGTAATTTTGCTTTTGATGTCTGATTACCTCTACATTCTTGTTCTTTATTGTTTCCAAATTTTGTGAAATGTTCAGGAAGCCAAGAGATGGTAAAAATATTTTTCTATATGTTGTTCTAGCACTGCTATAAATTTGTCATCTTCAGATATTTAATATCAGTGGATTTTTGTGTATTGTAGCAGTGGTGATTTTGAAAATTATTTTAAAAGCATAGACAATTTCCTGGAGGGTCTATCTGTTCACTAAATTACTTGAAATGGCTTTTTGTCCAATATTACATTCCAATGTACAGTATGTATACACCATTTGGATTTCCTATTTAATCATTTATGAATTATTGCAACAACTCCACATTAATTAGTATATAGTTTTACAGCCTGCTGGTTACTTTTTCCTCATTTCCCCTTTCAGATGACTTTAAGAATCAGTTTGTCAAAGTCTATGTCAAACTCTAGTCGGTAGCACTGAACTGAGTTTGAGTGGCAAACACGTTGAAATTGAGGTAAGACTTTACATTAAAAAAAATTAACTCTGTATTGAGAGACAGTTCCTTGCTAGGAAAGGTAGATTGCAAGCCCTGGAATTCCCCACCTTCTGACCTTGTCCTGAATGGACTGGACTACGTGTGAACTACATGTTTAAGAATCGCTTGCAGCTGGGTGGAAGGACCATACGACTGCATGCAAACACAGAGTAACTGTGGCCATAAGCTTTTCAGAGTGTCTTGTGCCCCTCAAGGCCTGCTGAAGACCACCAGTTCCTGCTGAATACCAAAGGATGCACACCTCAATCATCATGGATCCCGTAGAAACACAGAATTAGCTTCTTTGTGTGTGAATGTTTCTAGGTTAAAAAGCTCAGGAACAGCATCCAAGCCCTGAATTCAAGGCCCAGGACTGGCACAAACAAAAGTGATCCATAGTGGGGAAAAAAAGATGATTATTCTATAATCCTGGTACCTAAGCTGGGCAACCATGGGCTCCTGCATTGGAAACACTCTGGTCAGGAGTGTTTTAAATGATGGGATGCAAAATCATCTAAGGAACATCAGCAAGAGCATTCTCAAATCACTAGTAACCTGCTGGAAATACGGGAGAAAGCTTACCTCTCATCCTAAGCTATTTGTAGTCTCCTAATTTAGAAATAGAGTGTTTTTTTTTCTTTTTCTTTTGTCGGTCGTGGGGCTTGAACTCTGGGCTTGGGCTCTGTCCCTGTGCTCTTCAGCTCAAGGTGAGCTAGAAATAGAGTTTTGTACCTTCATTCACCAGCATTTTTTCAAAACAAGCACTGAGGTTTCAGATTTGTTTTTTTTTTTCCTTTTGGTCACAAAAGTCTTGCATATATTTTCTAAGGCTTACTCATGGGCATTTGTAAGAGGTTCTGTGTGAGGTTAAGTATATGTTTTGGATCCATGATAAGAAAGTCTAAAGCCTAATTCTATCATATATCTATATCTATATATGTGTATATCTATATCTATCTATCTATCTATCTATCTATCTATCTATCTATCTATCTATCTATATCTTAAACTCACATTGAAGATCTCGCTGCTGAGAATTCTTCTGTATATATGACCTGATTTGCTCAGTATAACCTGTAGTAGGTAAAACTAACAGTTCCCTCAATATCTACATCCTAGCCAAGTGCTGGTGGCTAAGATTACACCTGTAATCTTAGCTACTTAGGAGGCTGAGTTCTCAGACT